GTTGGTTCGTTCGTTCGTTCGTTGCGGCTTCCGCAGGTTTGTTTTGGAAGGGAATACACAATATAGATGTTTAAGTCTGACATGAGCAAAGAGCGATCTATTATGGTTTCAGTTTTTATTTAAGTCAGTTAAGACCGACGGTTGTCACCTTTCAACTAGCGTCCCACCGAAGTCTGAAGATTCATTGCGTCGGAGATCCTACTGTCCTACCGGAAATTAACAATCAGGGATCTGGAGAGCTTGATTTTTTAAAATTGTGAGTGTATCATATACGAAAAACTAAAGAGCTATAATATACATAATGTATATTATATTATTTCTATATATTTTCGTATGCAATATTTTTCAATAATCCAGGCCCAAGAATCATATTCTTGAAAAATATCACATGTAAAAATATACCAAAAATGTACTACTTATAGTATACAGTCTTGAAAAAAATGTCAGACCACTTATTAACTATTATTTAAAGTTTTATTAGTTAAAGTTTTTTATTATTTAAGTTTTAGCTCAAAAATTTATTTATGGCATTTACTGTAAATTATCCTTTGTTTCAAGAATCTTCAAATTTATGCATAATTTCAAAAATGTAAAAAATGAATGTGGTTATAATTTCAAAAATATATGAAAAGAAAGAGCATAAAGAATTACAGCACAAGATGTAGTTAGTGATATTTAATTATTCTTGCATTACGAATTACAATAAAAACATTAAACGTTTCGGCCACAATCTGGCCATCTTCAGTAAAATTAATAATATTCTTAAGACACATCAAGTTGGAATCAAATTCAACGCTCGTGTGTTATAATTGTAAAGATCGTGTTTGCATCAAAGCGACGCTGCTTCATATAATAATGTTAGAACGTCAGAAGTCATGTAGTAAAAAGTGTAGAACGAGAATTTCCAGATTCTAATTTACAATAATTTATTTAATTATTAATATCTTTTAAAACGGAGTATAAAACCAAGGAAACATTACCTGTTTTACAGCAAAATAATCGATGAATTAAAAGTATATTCATTTCACAGATAGAAATTTATCGTGACATTATGTGTTGTTATTGGTCGTATCACATATTTTTCGGCTATTTATATCCATGAGTCAAATAGTCTAGAAAGTTCTAGAATTGTTTATTAAATGCCTACTTGATGTAACTCTGCGTCTTAAGAATATTATTAATTTTACTGAAGATGGCCAGATTGTGGCCGAAACGTTTAATGTTTTTATTGTAATTCGTAATGCAAGAATAATTAAATATCACTAACTACATCTTGTGCTGTGGTTCTTTATGCTCTTTCTTTTCATATATTTATATGCATAATGCTGATAACAAATAAGTCACAATGCAGGTAAAAGAATTCTAAATAAATTTTAAAAAATGTTGACACCTAATATTTTTGAATGAGGCTGTATACTATTATAATATATATAGTCATATGTAAAAGTATTAGGCACTTACAATTTTCTCGAAAATTACATGAAAAATTAAATTTTCGCGGCGAAAAGAAATCTCAGAGAGGTTTTTGATTACGCATTTTAAAGCGTAAAGATAGGGCTTTAAATCTTTTGAAACTAAAGCTTTGAATCTCTTGTCTACAATATTTTGTCTTCCTAAGTTACATAAAAATTGAAAAATGATATCTTTGTAATATTTTGTCTTACTTTAAAACGCTATAGTTCAATAAAACATCAGCGAACAAAATTTAATGTGAAAGTATCTTAAAATAGGCTTCCTAAGTTTTGAAATTTTTGAAAAAAAATTGTACGATAATTTTTCGCAAAGATATGATATATTTTATTACGTGAAATTTTATTGTGTAAAAACTTACTTTTTCTAAATGTTTTTTAATTTTAAAATTAATCGAAAAAAGGCAAAAGAGAAAAAAGGTTGTTATAATGTATTTGATTCATATAAATTTTTTCGAATTTTTTAAAACCTTTATTCGATTATTAATTTTAAAAATGTTTGTACAGAATAAAATTTCACATAATAAAAAACACGATATTTTTGCGAAAAGTTAACAAACGAATTTTTTTCAAAAATCATTTTGAAGCTTAGGAAGTCTACTTTCAGACACTTTCATATTAAATTTTTATTGCTGATGTTTCATTGAACTGTAACACTTTAAGAATAAGACAAAAATATTGCAAAAGTATCATTTTTCAATTTTATGTAACTTAAAAACAAAATATCGTAGACAAAAAATTCAAACGCAGATTTAAAGCCCTATCTTTACACTTTAAAATGCGTGATCAAAAACCTTTCTGAGATTTCTTTTCACCGAGATATTTAACTTTTCGTAAAATGCGAGAAAATTGTAAATGCCTATGGCTCTTTTAAGGGGATCCTAAAGCCGTCTATATACTTTAATCCAGGGAAAAAATTGTCGAATCTGTGAAAGAGAGAAAAAAATATTTGTTAAACAAAAATTATATGATATAGTATAGTTTATTATTTTTAAGCATCTCTTCACTTATCTCTTAATCGAAGATACATTCAAAAAATTGAAGTTTTCGAAAAAAAAGATCGAAGTGATTAGGCCAACATTAAATTTTAGATTTTTGTAAGGAATGTTTAATAAAAAAAAATTTTTTATATTTATCAAATGAGACTTTTACACTCTTGAGAAATTCTCATATAGAATTGTTCTATTATAATCATATGATGGACAAAACAACAAAGAGTGTTGTGTAACGAAGTTTCAGAATTTTAATTTTAATGCAGTTTATTTTTATTAAAATAAACTTATGTGTATTATATAATATATATTTTATAAAAGGAATAATTGTATAATTCAAAATATAGAAATGACTTAAATAATTTAAAATTAAAACAAATCAAACAAAGAGCTACAAATCTTTAATGCTAAAATTATTATAAATAATAAAATATATTTTCATACAACAGACGTTTCAATCCCGATTGGATAATTTTCAATATAACTATTCAATACAGCTTTAAAAATTCATAGTTACATAAAAAGTAATAAATAATTACATTAATCGATAAAAATAATTCAAAATATACTAGTTTTTATATCTGAATTATCCCATAGTTGTTTCTGGAATGTTGATAAGTTTGTGTTGCTAAGTTCAACATTTTGACTGCCACATAAATTTTTATAATTGGTTCCCTCTAGCACACTATTATTTCCATAAAATAAATATAAATTAAAATTTCATGCTTTTTAGAAATATTTATGAAATATATGTATTTAAATTGATACACGTGGCGCCTTACACGCGGACCTATATGAGATATGTATTTAATCAGATACGAATGACAGTCAGTGTTAAATAAAATATTGGGCATTAATCACAAATTGCTTTACAGCAATTAATAAAACCATTTTGCTTTTGACTTTTGCTATCTATGGCAGTGTTGTCTTTTTTATATGTTTTTTTCATAAAGATGTTTTCATAATTATATCACTCTTAAAATATCGATCATTCTCTTTTGAAACAATTTGTATAAAACCGTAGATACTACCTAAGATTTCATTTTCATTTACCTGTAAGAATATCATTCGCTGATTCGAAGAATAACGCATGAAAAGAGCTTATTATCCGATGTTATCGATATTTCCGCTCTTTCCGATCGTTTATGTATATTTGAGTAGCTAATTAATATATTCATTTATTTATATGCGTATTATAACATGCAATAACAAATAGAATAATAGCATACATTGGATTCGCAAAATTACTTATGACAAAATTGCAATGTATAATGGAAATGTAAAGCTTCGTGTATTTCCGATGGAATCATGTAAATGATTATTATAAATAGATGCAGCTTGAAAAGCATGATTATATGATATCAAATTTTAGTGGAATTTACATAGTTTTAAAAGTTATCAATATGTTGTCAAATTATATATTTTTATGTTAACAACGATTTCTACAAATTTTTAATTTTGATCAGAAATTATTAAATAAAATTATATGAGTTACCTATTAATTTACAATTTTATTAAAATTTTCACAAATTTAAAATGATAATAATTATTAGCAATAATGATAATAATAATTTGTAACCACAAAAATATTTAAGTTATTGGCAAAGAAATTTCAAGCACAATAATTACTTCTTCTTTAAATAATAATTAATTTTAGGAATGTTTATTATTGTTTAAAACTTTTGGTAAATGTAAAATTAATTTGATACGATGGATAACTTCAGTTGCCGACGAATGTTATTTTACCGATTCAAAGAGGTGACTCTCAATTTTAACACCAGTTAGCGTCTTTTTCCAGCATCATTCACACAATGTATCTATAATCTTTAAAAATAAAATATTTTTGTAAAAGATTTTTCAAAAAGATTAGAACAATTTAATTATAAAGAATATTTGATTATAAAAAATATTGTAAAAAACGTATTTTTATCAAAATAAGATACTATATTTCTTTAGAAAATAGATTGCTATGCCATCTTAAGGAATATACTCCAAACTGATCACCCTATATATCGACATAGCACCTTTTTTTAATTTATAAATCGATCGATTTATGAATCAAAGGCACGCAAAGGAAGAAAATCTAATGCATGTAGGAAAAAGAGAAAGAAAAAGAAAGTATTAATATCAGATTAATAAATGTTATGTCTATTTAATTAATAAATAATATCTTATTAATAAATATATTTGGAGATAATATAAGTTTAACAACAAAAATAAGAAATGAACAAATAATCGCTTTCAATTACTTTACATCAATCTTTTTCCTATTTGCACGAGAAATTAATAAGAAATTAAACACACGATTTCACATTACAGCGATTAAATTTTACATGAAATCTGTGTTCATTTAATTGATTGTACGCTGTTCTGCAGATTTAAATATTTTAGTTTGCGTATATGTATAAACGAAGTTAATTGTCATGTTAGCAATTGTATCGCTTTATGAACAGATCAGCGAGAAACTGAGTATCGGAATTGAAGGATCGCAACTGAATGGCAGTGTCAACGAGGTCGTCTAAAGTTCAAAGGCCATGGCTAATTGATAAGAAGAGCTTTCAAGAGCATTCGTAATTCGCTTCGGACGGAATGGCGACGTTTCGTTTAACGTCATCATTTTCGACTTAGCAGACAGTCGCCTCGTAGATTTATAACACGAATTATCTCGTTCTCGTGCGTGCCATTTTATTCAACGATTACGCGAGGTTTCTAGTTTGCTCCAACCAGCCCGTCGTCTTCTCCGATCCGATTGGCCTGCGCGTTAACAAAATGTTATTTTAGATCTTCGCGCTAGTTGCAACTTTGCTTAGCCTTCGAGTAGAGACACGCAGACACTCGTTGCGAGTTTCATCAGATTGCCATTCTGTGATCTTGATGAGCCTTTACGTTCGTTAATCTAGAGAGAATTTTTCACCAAACTAATTAATCTTAGAAGTAGGACATTAAAATACTACTAAAATACACTGCTGTACACGGAAAGAACAGATGAAGTATTTAAAAATTTGACATTTTGATTACAATACAATGCATCGTACTGACAAAGTTTCTTTAATTAAAGACATATTTCGTTTCATTTTAAATTATTTACGTACCATGAATTGCGTTTTAACTCTTACAGCTCTATCTCTAGTTGTTATTGTTATTTTATATTTGAAATATATATTAACACTTATATTTTAACACAATAAACAAATTACAAATGGGCCTTTAGGAGGATCGGCGCTAATAATAATTGTGCGTTTATTTGATTGATCTAAAACAATCCTCTATAAATAATATATTTTTTATTATATGTTGATGACATAATTATGGCTATCCCTTCATCTGAAGCCAACCATATACCATTTGTATTACAAAAATTTAATTCTTACCATCCTAGAATACAATTCACATGTGAGATTGGCAATAAAACTATCAATTTTTTAGATACCACTATTATTATTGAAAACAATGTCATTAAGTTTGACATATATCACAAATCATCTTTCTCTGCGAGATATCTTAATTACCTCAATACTTGATATCTCAAAAAAAGGAACTGTAATAGGGATGGTTAATAGAGTTTTTTAATTTCACACCCGGATTTCTATCAAAAAAACCTGGAACAGATAATAAAAATTTGATTAAATAATGATTATCTACTAAATTTCATTTTTTATGTAATACGAGAAAGAATTAAAGTTTTAATAAATAAACAAACTCTCAATCAAACCACCAATAAGTATAATAATTCCTCAAATAAGGATATTAAAGAAAAACCGAGCTGGTTCACAATTCCATATGTACAATCTATTTTTGAAAAATTTTAAAATATCATCAAATATTCCGACACTAAATTCTTGTTTTTCAACCTTAACAAACTCAATTCAATGATAAAAGCGCAAAAAGATCCTCTTTCTGCAGATTGCAAAAAGAACATTGTGTGTAAAATTTCTTGTAACGATTGTGATGCGTCTTATGTTGGACAAACATGTAGACAATTAAAAACAAGGATTTCCTAACACAAAAATCAATAGAAATAAAACCAATTCTTCGGTTGTCATGAATCATAGGACATATCGCAATCATGATTTTGATTGGAACGTTCAAATATTAGTCACAGAACGTAACAGCAATAAAAGAAAAGACTAATATCAGAAATGATAAACATCAAGCGATAAAAGAACGATTAATTTAAACAAAGACACTGAGTTACTTAGTTCTTCATATTTTTTTTATTTGACCGACCACTAAAAATCTATAGTTAAAAATAATACAGTTTCATTACGACGATTGAACATCATCGACTTACGCAATATAAATTACATTTATTTAATTATCGTCGTTTCGTCTTAAATTTTAATTCACGAGAAAAAGAATTTGCGTTACAACAACTATGATATTAGGACTAATTTGTATTTGATGTATTCCTGAGATCTCCACAGCAATTCCTGTAAGTTTTTTAATATTTTTCGACTCTAATATTCATTTATTATATTTAAGGTCAAATATTATTGATCATCCAGCTTATTAACTGATTATGAGAAATTTGATGTCAGAGTGTAATCACAGAGTGAAGTTCTTTATGGATTTTTTGTAATACATTCGCTCATAAAGGCTAGAAGTTAGTCAAAACGTTCGACAAATATATCGTTTATAGAGAATTGTTTTAGATCAATCGAAATAAACGCGCAATTATTACAGCACCGATTCCTAAAGGCTCATTTCTAATTTGTTAATTGTTTAATATAAGGAATCTTATTTTATTGTAAGTCTTTTTTAATTTCTTCTAAAAATTTAACTAGTTATAAATCTGAATATCATTTTTGAATTATTATATTTGAGTTTCCAACATAGTTATTTTTGATGTTCAACAAAATTATATTTTCAACAATATTATTTATGTAGTATCTAAATTTTTAGATACTGCAGTAAAATCGTGCTTTTTGTGTATTTTTAAGTAAGTAAATTTTGCTTTCTATTTTTATTCTTTCGCGTCATAGATAAGATATGATATTTCGAAATATATGCCATTTCGTCCATCGACAAAATTAACTTATCCGAAATCTTGCTGAAATTTATCTACAAATTTTACTATACTATACAGACCTAAAAATACTTTCGTTCGACATTCAGTAGATCTGCAAATAATTATACAGAACGCTCAAGCTGATTATTAAAATATTAAAAATCTTGGAGCATTGTCCATCATGCACTTGAGCGTCCTACTCCGAAATTATCTTAATAATTCAACAAGATTATTTTCAAATCTGTCCAACTAAATTTTTAAATCAACAAAACCGTTCTTTTCTCATGAAATGCCAGGAACTCGGTACACTCGGTGCAGCGCGCACTCGTCAGTCCGGATCGGACAAATTGGCCGGCTTCCGCAATCGTAATGGCCCTTTTCTCCACGCACATCTCGTATCTCCTCGCGACGACGGTCATCATTGCTACAATACGACGTATTATCAAGCGATCACGATATTACTACGTTCCACGTGCGGCGCGTATGTGATTTACAGCCCGCAGCGCAACGGCGCGGAGTCCAAGTCCGGTCTGTATTGGAGCACCGAATACTAGTTTTCCTCCGCGTCTATGTAACGGATGCGTGCGTACATGTGTTGCGTGCGTGCGTACGAGGAGGGGGACTCCACGAGGAAAGGACTCTGTTGGTCCCCCCCCCCCTCCTCCCCCGGAGTAGGCTCGCGGACGATGGGAAGGGGGTGACAGGGGTTTCTGTATCGGGGGACTACGATAACGCAGGTCTGCCCCGTCTAATTATTCGTATTTACTCGCAGAGGTTGCGAAGAAGAAGCGCGATCAGAAGCGGAGCGGAGCGGAACGGAGCGGACGTCGCGGTCGGGACACGGCAGGCGTAGTTCAGGACGACATCGGGAGCGAGGAAAGGATGGCTGGCCGTCTTCGAGGCACGACCAGGATGCTCGCCGTCTGCCTGGTCTACCTTTGGACGCTCCTCGGTGAGTTACGGGTTACTGGCGGTCCCTTATACGCTCGTCTCTCCCTCTGCCTTTCCTGTCCACGCTCCCACCCTGTCCGTGTGAGCTGCCCCCCTTGCACTGTTCCTCTTGGTGACTCCTCGTTCCCCGATCTCCCCAAAGTCATTCATTGAAAAATGCACAGTACGAGCCGGCCGGAACATGGCGGTCCATTGATATACCCCGTTGCTACTCCGGTAAATTTTAGAGCAATCGACGCCACATTCTTTCATGGAGAGATAAGATAAAAATGTACCGAGAAAAATTTCTACTTGAAAATGAACGAATTTGAAGATTCTGATTGTATGAAAAATATTCTTGTCATCTAATTTAATTGGACGTCTGGTTATCTCGATTGGAATTCTGATTGATATGACCGAAATCTTCTGATTCGTTCCATTTTTAATCAGAATATTTTTCAGCATAGAATATTGTATTGCTTGTGTAATTTCAAAATCTATGTAAAAATATAGTGCGTCTATTTGATATTATATATTAAATCCACTTTGAACACGATTCTTTTTCAAATAATAGACGATCACAACATAAAAATATATATTTACGATAAACTACACAATGTGTGTCGTATCGAGAGATACGATAAGTACTAAAACTTACATATCAGTAATCCTATGTAAAGAACTTGTAAAACTATACTTAGATATATGTCTCGATAGGCAAATGTCGTATAAATAATCTTTCGAAGAAACATTATTTCACGTTATTTAACTAAAAAAAATTTACGCTACAAAATATATTTTACACTTTTCCCTCTTGTTTCTTTTTTCCTTCGTCTATGTCATTTGTTTCCTTTTCTGTGCGAGAGATTATCCCTTAACACAGTTTTATTGAACACCCTATATATAATAATCTACATTTCTCGATGAGAAATACGAGAGGGACTATTTTTTTTTTTCTTGTTTTTACAGGTTCGTACTGTCAAATGGCACCAGGTGATTATTCTCATCGTCGAATTGAGAACCGCTTATAGTTCATATAAAAAGAATATACAACCCAGTAAAGATTCATTTAATTGTTTCACGCAGCAATGCGAAAGAAACAATGGTCGAAGCGTTACATAAAGAAAAAAAAAAAAATAAAAAAGAGAACACATAACGCCCATTCTCGCTCGTCGTGTAACAGGGACTCCGCACGAATTAACGGTACTCCGTTTAACATATACGCGCGTATGCACACACACTCACACATACGCATACACATTTACATACACATACGTGTGTTACATATCGTGTGTCTCTTCTCGGATCGTCTCGAGAGAGGAGCGATTCTCGTTGTCTGGCGTTACCATTGTCAGTCGACGCGCGACTCGCAGTCGGTGACGTCGTCGAGCATTCGGTTCATATCTACATATTTGCACGTGCAACGTATCTACCTCAAAGGCCCACGATGAATTTTCGCGCGATAACGAATAATTACTGGAAATTATGCGTCATACTTGCAGCCGTGGCTGGTGGCACCAAGGGTTGGCAAGTAGGAAATGGTCACAAATACAAGCTGACGAATACGCTGATCTTTAGAGAGACCGAATCATCGAAATCTACGGGTGACGTCGGTTTCAGGGTGACCGGCGAGCTGGATGTCACTGCCTTATGGCAGGATTTTAACGAGCCCAATATCTTTTTACTTAAATTCGAGGTATGATACATTTCATTATTATTTACTTATTTTCAAATATCGCGAATCTCTTCAATGACGTTACTTATCACAGATGTAGAAAATGTTGCGTAAATTGAATCATAATTTAAATCTTCCTTTGTTTGTTTCAATTTTGATTTTAAAGACGGATAAAAAATTAATCAATACTTTTCTTTATTACTCTACAAAATTTGTTTTAATTATAAATGATTATAAAAAAATACAAATATTAATTTTTTAGAAGTAAGTGTAATATAATTTTATTAAATCGTTAAAATGTTTTAACGATTATATAATGCATCGAACAACTTTGTTAAAAAATTATCTTTCAATTATTGAATTTCTGTAATTTTTCTGCAAATTTAATGAGTTACTTATGTATTTATACCTTTTAGACTGAAGTGAAAAACTATTAACTACTTTAAAAAAATGTAAATGTAAAAGAAACTAACATATTTTATTAAAATTATATAATTTAATCACGTACGAAAATTTATTTTCAAAATTTT